GGGTGATGTCACTGAGGTGTTGATCGACTAGATCCGCGCAGGTTGTCTCCACCTCAGGCAGAGCTTCGGCTCGGACTTTCCTGTTCTGCGTCTGCACTCTGACAGAGGCGGAGAGTTCTCCTCTGGCCTTCTGAGAGCCTACTGTCGTGCACGAGGCAACCGTCAGACCTTCACGCTTCCGGACTCTCCGCAGCAAAATGAGATTGCTGAGCGCCGCATTGGCATGGTCATGGACGTCGCTCGTACGTCCATGATGCATGCGACTGCCCCCCATTTTCTGTGGCCGTTTGCGGTTAGGTACGCGGCGCATCAGATCAACCTTCACCCCAGGGTCTCCAGGCCGGAGACCTCCCCAGCTTTGCTGTGGACGGGGAAGGTTGGCGATGCATCTGCGTTCCGTGTCTGGGGATCTCGGGCGTTTGTCCGCGACTTGTCTGCGGACAAGCTGTTCCTTCGTGCTGCTCCTTGCATCTTCCTTGGCTTCCCCCCTGATGCGCCCGGGTGGCAGTTCTACCACCCCACCTCGCCCCATGTTATGTCCTCCCAGGACGTCATGTTTGACGAGTCGGTCCCCTACTACCGCCTCTTCCCCTACCGCACTCCGTCCCTCCCCCCGCCACCGCTCTTCCTTGTATCCGGTCCCCCCTCGGTAGACCCCCTCCCCCCTCAGGGTCCTGCCCCTTCAGGTGTGTCCCAGGTAGACGCAGTCGAGCCTGTCGAGGTTACTGGTGACTTTGGTGCTGCTGAGGGTGCCGAGCCTGGGGGTGCTGAGCGTGTGGGTGCTACTCCTGGGGGTGCTGAGCCTGGGGATGCTAAGCCTGAGGGTGCTACGCCTGGGGGTGCTGAGCCTGAGGGTGCTACTCCTGGGGGTGCTGTGCCTGGGGGTGCTATGCCTGGGGGTGCTGAGCCTGGGGGTGCTGTGCCTGGGAGTGCTACGCCTGGGGGTGCTGAGCCTGGGGGTGCTGAGCTAGGAGGTGCTACGCCTGGAGGTGTGGAGCCTGAGGGAGCTGGACCTGTTCGTGTGGCGTTTGGTGGTGCTGGGCCTGGAGGTTCTCCGGGTGCTTCGTCTTGGCGGGAGCCACTCTCTCCATAGGAGCTGCGCGAGTGGTTTGCCCGGCACTGGAGCCGTGCTGCTGGAGCTGGAGGTTCTTCGGCTACTGAGGGTGCTGGTGTCGCGGGTCCCGGAGGTACTCGTACTGGGAGTACTAGAGCTGCTGGGCCTGCGGGTCCGACTGGAGCTGGTGCTGCTGAGGGTGTTGGCGCTGAGACTACTGCTGGCGGTCCTGCTTGGGGTGCTACTGGTGCTGCTGGAGGTCCTGGAGCTACTTGAGCTGCTACGGGTACTGGAGCTGGAGGTGCTGCTGGAGCTGATGCTCCTGCTGGGGGTACTGGTGCTGTCCGTGCTGTGTCCGGAGTCGCCGCGCGGCCTCGACCGTACTTCGTTCCGCTCGTGCAGCAGGTTCTTGGTCTTCCGCCTTCTATTGGTCCTCCTTCTCCCTTAGAGTGTCCACAGCCTGTCCAGTCGCGGTCACAGTTACAGCCTGCCTCCCCCCTACCTGCTCCTTCTCCCTACACTGGTCCTACTGGAGGTCTTGCTGAGCGTCGTGAGCCTGCGTCTCGCCCTGCGTCGCCTGTCCGTGCTGCTCGCACTAGTGGTCGTGGTTCCCGTCAGCGTCCTCCTCCTATCCCTGGCACGCACCGAATGTCTCTTCGTCCGTCCACTGCTCTTCTGCGTGCCCCTTTGCCTTCTCCTCCTAAGTCCTCTCTTCCTGCTCTTGCCGACCCGGAGTCGGACTCTCTTCGTGCTGCCAGTCCTATTGTCACGCGTCTCCTTGCTACTGTCGTCACTGACCCTTCCTTTGAGTCCACTGCTGCGTCTGCCCTAGTTGCTGAGCTCGTCGACTTTGCTGCTCGCTGTCGCCTCGACTACGATGCTAGTCTTGTTGATGAGTCTGAGTCTGTCTGTCCTCCGTCGGTCGGGGGTGAGTGTGCCCTTGGCACGGACGTCCTTGACGACAGGCAGGAGGTGTTCCAGTGTCTGGCTGCTGCTTCACCTCATCTCGTGTCCGTATGCTTACCCTTGAGGGAGACCCGGATGCACTTGACATCCCGACTCCGCACTCTTACGCGGAGGCGATAGAGGGTCCCTACTCCTCTCAGTGGCAGGCAGCTATGGACGCAGAGATGGCTTCTTGGAAGTCCACTTGCACCTACGTTGACGAGGTTCCCCCGCCTGGGGCGAACATCGTTAGTGGCATGTGGATCTTCAGGGTGAAGCGGCTGCCAGGTTCTCCGCCTGTCTTCAAGGCGCGTTACGTGGCTCGTGGCTTCAGTCAGCGGCAGGGAGTTGACTACTTTCAGACCTTCTCTCCCACCCCGAAGATGATCACTCTTCGGGTACTGCTGCACGTTGCTGCTCACCGTGACTATGAGCTTCACTCTCTTGACTTCAGCATAGCTTTCTTGCAGGGCAGCCTGCACGAGGAGATCTGGCTGCGCCGCCCACCTGGCTTCACTGGGTCGTTCCCTCCTGGTACCCAGTGGAGCCTCCGGTGTCCAGTCTACGGTCTCCTCCAGGCGCCCCGTGAGTGGCACAACACACTGAGGACTATGCTTGCGGCACTTGGGTTTGCTCCTTCTACTGCCGACCCGTCGCTGTTTCTGCGCACCAACACCTCTCTGCCGCCGTTCTACATCCTCGTGTACGTCGACGACTTGGTCTTTGCCACAGCTGACACTGCTGGACTCGCCCACGTGAAGTCCGAGCTGCAGAAGAGACACACGTGCACAGACTTGGGTGAACTGCACAGCTACCTTGGCTTGCAGATCACCCGGGACAGAGCACGCCGCACCATCACCCTGACTCAGTCACACATGGTGCAGCAGGTCCTTCAGCGCTTCGGCTTCACGTACTCCTCACCTCAGGCCACTCCTCTGTCTACTCGCCACTCGCTCTCAGCTCTGCCTTCGGATGAGTCCGTAGAGTCGAGTGGCCCGTATCCAGAGCTTGTTGGCTGCCTCATGTACCTGATGACCTGCACTCGACCTGACCTTGCATACCCTCTTAGCATTCTCGCACGCTATGTTGCTCCTGGGAGACACCGACCAGAGCACATGGCTGCAGCGAAGAGGGTGTTGCGCTACTTGTGCAGTACGTCGGGCATGGGGCTAGTGCTTGGAGGGCGGAGTCCAGTGGTCCTCACTGGGCACGCAGACGCTTCTTGGGTTGACGACCAGGCTACGCAGCGGTCGTCACAGGGTTACACCTTCGCCTTGGTTCCGGCTCTGTTTCGTGGCGGGCTACTCGCTCGTCTTCTGTTCTCGGCTCCAGTTGTGAGGCTGAGATCTACGCAGGGGCCATGGCTGCACAGGAGATTCGCTGGCTCACCTACTTGCTTATTGACCTCGGAGAGCCGCCTCGTTCTCCTCCAGTTCTGTACGTAGACAACAAGGCCATGCTGGCCTTATGTCGAGAGCAGAGACTGGAGCATAGAACAAAGCACATTGCTCTTCGCTACTTCCTTGCTTGTGAGCTACAGCAGCGTGGTCAGTTGCGGCTTGCGTACGTGGCCTATGAGGCCAACAGTGCTGATGTCTTCATGTCAGAATATATCTGTAACTGTCTGTAGATGTAGTTAGTGTAGTTATTATAAACTTCATTTGGTGGTGCACCTTCTTTGTTACTTTGCTATATGTTCTTGCAAACCTATAGTGAAAGCACTCGTTTTCCCTTTCTCAACTTTCTCGACATTCTCCTCAACCCTAAAACCTAAGCTACTAAGAGCCTCCTTAGTCATGGCTCCTAAGCTAACCTATACCTAGATTCTATCATGGTATCAGAGCAGGTACGTTCCTGCTGCCTTCCTGCTTCCGCTGCCTATCGTCTTGCCGTGCGCCTCTGGCGCACGGCGATTTTCTCCCGCCGTGCGCCCTGGGCGCACGGCGTCTTCCTGCCCCGCGCGTGGCCTGCCCTCACGCCGCCTGCGCGCCTACCTCACGTCCACGGGCGGGCCTGATTTTCCCGCCCGTACCCTCCACTTCGCGGCGCCTTGCGAGGTGCCGCTCCTGCTCGTCGCGACGCACCTGCGGGACCCGGGCGTCGCCACTCCTGCTCGTAGCGACGCCCCTGCAGGACCCGCAAGGCGTCGCCTTGCTCGTCGCGACGCCACTGCGGGACCCGCGGGGCGTCGCCACTGCTCGTCGCGGCGCCCCCTGGACGCCGCCCCTACTCGTCGCGGCGCCCCTGGGTCGTCGCCCGTGCTCGTAGCGGCACTCTTTGGGCGCCGTCCCTGCTCGTCGCGGCGCCCTCCCCCCTGGCCACCGCCTCTGCCTCACCCGCGCCCGCGCCAGCGTTGCAGGCGAGCGCGGGCCTACCTTGCACCAGCGCCGCCCCTGGACCTCAGCAGCAGTGCCTGGAGCAGCCGCCCCAGCAGCAGCAGCCTCTGGAGCCGCCGCCCAAACAACAGCAGCCTCGGGAGCTGCCGCCACTGCAGCGGCCGCCCCAGCAGCAGCAGTGTCTGGAGCAGCCGCCCCATCAGCAGCAGCGCCTGGAGTAGCCGCCCCAGCAGCAGCAGCCTCTGGAGCCGCCGCCCCAGCAGCTGCAGCGCCTGGAGCAGCCGCCCCAGGCGCAGCAGCCCCTGGAGCCGCCGCTCAAACAGCAGCAGCCTCTGGAGCTGCCGCCACTGCAGCGGCCGCCCCAGCAGCAGCTGCCCGTGGAGCCGCCGCCACTGCAGCGGCCGCCCCAGCAGCAGCAGCGCCTGGAGCAGCCGCCTCAGCAGCAGCCCACGGCGCCGACCCCACAGCTGTATGCACCGCCGCTCCTGGACTCGGTATGGCTGCCCGTGCCTGTGCTGCCTGTTGCTGTCTGTGCCTGTATTGCCTGTTGGTGCCTGTGCTTGTGCTGCCTGTTGCTGCCTGTTGCTGCCCGTGCCTGTGCTGCCCGTTGCCGCCCGTTGCTGCCCGTGCCTGTGCCGCCCGTTGCCGCCCGTTGCTGCCCGTGCATGTGCTGCCCGTTGCCGCCCGTTGCTGCCCGTGCCTGTGCTGCCTGTTGCTGCCCGTGCCTGTGCTGCCTGTTGCCGCCCGTTGCTGCCCGTGCCTGTGCTGCCCGTTGCCGCCCGTTGCTGCCCGTGCCTGTGCTGCCCGTTGCCGCCCGTTGCTGCCCGTGCCTGTGCTGCCCGTTGCTGCCCGTGCCTGTGCCGCCCGTTGCCGCCCGTTGCTGCCCGTGCCTGTGCTGCCCGTTGCCGCCCGTTGCTGCCCGTGCCTGTGCTGCCCATTGCCGCCCGTTGCTGCCCGTGCCTGTGCTGCCCGTTGCTGCCCGTGCCTGTGCTGCCCGTTGCCGCCCGTTGCTGCCCGTGCCTGTGCCGCTCGTTGCCGCCCGTTGCTGCCCGTGCCTGTGCTGCCCATTGCCGCCCGTTGCTGCCCGTGCCTGTGCTGCCCGTTGCCGCCCGTTGCTGCCCGTGCCTGTGCTGCCCGTTGCTGCCCGTGCCTGTGCTGCCTGTTGCCGCCCGTTGCTGCCCGTGCCTGTGCCGCCCGTTGCCGCCCGTTGCTGCCCGTGCCTGCGCTGCCCGTTGCCGCCCGTTGCTGCCTGTGCGTGTGCTGCCCGTTGCCGCCCGTTGCTGCCCGTGCCTGTGTTGCCGCTACAGCCCTTGTTGCTACTCTGCGCGCCCCGCGCGCCCTGCTGCCCTATGCGCCCTGTGAGCCCTGCTTCCCTGCTGCTGCCGCTACAGCCCTTGCTGTTGCCGCTACAGCCCTTGCTGCTGCCCTGCGCGCCCCTCACGCCCTGCAGCCCTGCTGCGCCCCGTGCGCCCTGCAGCTCTGCGCGCCCTGCAGCTCTGCGCGCCCTGCGCGCCCTGCTGCCCTGCTGCCCTGCGCTCCCTGCGTGCACTGCAGCCCTGCATGCCCCGCGCGCCCTACTGCCCTGCAGCCCTGTGCGCCCTGCTGCCCCACGCCCTCGTGCACTCTGTTCTGCTCTGTCGCCCTTGCCCCCCCCCCCACCCCCCCCCACCCCCCCCCTCCTCTTTGTCTCCTTGCTGCGTGTGCAGCCGTGGAACGGAGGCTATGGGGGTGGCGGGTATGGGGGTGATGGGTGTGTGTGATCCCCTTCCCCTCCTCCTCCTTTCTCTCCCACTGCTGCAGCTGCCGCTGGGGGGAGGGTGGGTGTGAGGGTGTGGGGGAGCTGGGAGAGAGGTGCCAGGGTTGTCGAGGAGTGTGGAAAGGGGAGTTGGAGGACTGAGGAAGGTTCCAGGAAGCAGCCGCCTTTGAGCCAGCAGCTTAACCTGCCAGCAGCTTCTCCTCAAATAGTCCCTCCTCCTCACTTGCCCTCTCCTCCTGCGCTTGGTGTACCCCTTCAGGGGTGTCTCTGCATTAGCTTCTGCTGCAGGCAGTTATGGGGGAGTGTCAGAATATATCTGTAACTGCCTGTAGCTGTAGTTAGTGTAGTTATTATAAACTTTATTTGGTGGTGCACCTTCTTTGTTACTTTGCTATATGTTCTTGCAAACCTATAGTGAAACCACTCATTTTCCCTTTCTCAACTTTGTCGACATTCTCCTCAACCCTAAAACCTAAGCTACTAAGAACCTCCTTAGTCATGGCTCCTAAGCCAACCTATACCTAGATTCTTTCACTTCACCAAGGCACTTGCGCCTTGTGATCATCAGCGGTTCTGCACTCAGTTGGGTCTTGTGCATGTCTTGCCTCACTTGCTCACCTCTTGACCTTGCTTGTACTTTTACATATATATATATATACCTGCTCTTGCTTGTCTAGCCTTACATATATATGTGTACTCCTGCATGTGAACTGGCCCTGTGGCCTTGAACTTGTGCTCGGAATGTGTGGTGACTTTGTGATCCACCGTGAGCTTGCTTTGCTTTGCTTTGCTTGACTGGTCTTGTGACCCCCTGTTCTCCCCCACTTTGCCTATAGGGGTGTGTCAGAACATTGTAGCTTATACACATTGTGTAGGCTGTAGTGGGGTATCCCATAGGGGGTACAACCCAATTAGGGTTAGTACTTGTACCCACTTGTTTCATAGTTCATTCATTCTCGTTTCTTCTCACAACCGTGCGACTCCAGACGGTTACGACACTGTCCGGACAGAATCCTCGCCACTACAGCTGCGTGATGCTGTATGCGTTGACGGTCCAGATGCTTTGTAACGGTCTGACCCTTCGTGTTACTTCTGCCCTTTCGTCTTCAGCCTCGGTACTGCATAGTTCGATTGCTGCTGTCAGGACTGCACAATAATGTTTCATTAATTAATATTCATAGCACCCCCCTTCACTCCTGGCCATAGCGAGTCTTGACTCGCTTGATTACTCCGCTGAGTTCGGAGCAGTGCTGGTATTGCTGACGTGACAGTCGCTTCGTAAGGAAGTCGGCTGCCATGTCACCCGTCGGACAATATATTAGGTCAACCTTGCCCTTGTCAACTTCGTCTTTGACGAAGAAGTACCGCAGCGCGATGCGTTTGGTGCGGCTGACGAATCCAGGTTTGTTCGCGATCCTGATCGCGCTCTGGTTGTCGTAGTGCAGGCAGAAGTTCGGCGAAGCTGGAATTTTCGCCTCCTGTAGCAGGTCCTGAAGGTAGAGACCTTCGCGAACAGCTGCTATTGCTGCGATGAATTCGGCTTCCACCGACGACAGTGCAACCAGCTCCTGTTTCTGCGAATTCCGGGAGATGGGCCGCTGGGCTTGAGGCGAAAAAGAAAGCCTGTCCTGGACCGTCGATTGTCGGGGTCAGCGGCGTGATCAGCATCCACGTAGCCCATGAGATTGAAGGGCGCGGTTGGGATGGTGGAGTAGCAGAGCCCAACATTGGGTGTGGAGATGAAGAACTGGAGAGCCCGCTGAAGATCTAGGAGATTCTCAGCCATTGGTTTGCGAGAGTACTGAGCAAGCTGGCTCGCGATGTAGGAAAGATCGGGCCTGCAAGTAACGGAGGCGAAGAGTAGGCATCTCAGCTGCTGCTGGTAAGTCTGAAGCCCAGGAGTGGACATGACTTTGTTGTCAGTCTTAACTACTATGCGTAACAATATCAACAGACACGATCTTGACGAAGCCTGACAAACACCTAGGTTGGATGCTTTGTAACAATAAAAAATATTGTCAGCAAAGATGACATGGCTTCTAAGAGGACAGATATTGGCAAATCAAGTAGTTAAGAGGGATGTTCGAAAAGTCTGTGGTATCGCGGACAATGATAGCGTGCTTCTCGGCGGAATCCATGGCGGTCTCTGGTGTTCCATGGCTCGGCTTCCCGTGCCTGCCGGGTGTAGTTGGTATGCCAAGTTTGTATTTCTGTATCACATCATAGAAGCAGTAAGTGAGATTCTTGGTTTTCAAATTTACTATAGCGCGAATACCTTCAGTGGTGGTAGTGCCCCGAAGTCATCCAGCCCGACGGGTAATTATGTCACTGGCGATGAGAAACTCGGGTAGAGTGAGCTGTTTCAAATTGCTCTGTCCAGTGCTATCATATCCGTCCGGAACGGATAGTTATTGCATTGGCAGAGTCCGGTAGTGATTTCACCTTTCACGCCAGATTTTAGATCCACGATTCCACGAAACAGTGAATCTCAAGGCTGCCTTGCCTAGCTCTTCGATGTTCGAATATATCGTGGGTTGTTTGCAAAACTGGTGCGCCAGCGCGATTAGCTTGAAAAGTAGGTAGGGTGGTGAGTCACGCCCTTTTTGGTGAGGGCATACACACACCCCTCAACGCCTAAATGGTTGCTGGCGTCATCGAGACGATTTTGGCAAGTTCCGAGCTCCGACTCTACGGAAACTTCAAGGCATTGAACAGTTTGGCAGAATGACGTCATGGAAATTCGCGAATCGCGAGACATGCATATCCGCTGTAGGGCAACTACGTCGCAGGTACAAGACCACAACTGCTGACACCACTGCCGCTAAGGAAGCGCCACGTCGGATCCCTTTCTTGCTTTTCACAATTCCGCGAACCCAGGTTATGTTGGCATTGGTGGCTCTGCTCCTCCCCGCCATACAAGAACCACCGTCAAGCTGCTCTCGATCTCACATTCTGTCTCAATCCAACATCGAGTTTCTGAAACTACAGGTAAACAGGGTATTTTTCGTCACCCATTTCCACAGCTTCGCGAGTCGTCCGTGCGACAGTTTCGTGCTTATTGATAGGCCCATTGGATCATTCGCCGCAATCCGAAACTTGGCGGGGACAAGCAGCTAGCAATCCCTTCCAATCAGACACTCCCTTCCCTTTCCGCGAAGCGCATTTGTTCCCCCCCTTTACCTGTGGCCTTAGTTTCAAATAAAACTCCTGCTTGAGCTCTTTCCACTTTATTGCTGGGTTTGAGAAGTACCAATACCGTAGAAACCCTTGGGGCGTAACTTTCCCTGCTATCCTCTCTGACGGCAGTCGCCATGCCGGGCGACATTCCCGTCGGTGAGTTTGAACTTCCGTCGCTGCTATCTACTGTTGTAGAACCCGAAGCCTTCAAAATTAAGGACAAGCTTTGAGAGGTTTATGGCACGCTAACGTACGCTTTGGATAAAGAAAGTACACTCATTTCCGGTATGCTTTTTTTTTCACCTACTGCCTTACGCATTTTTATTCTCCTCTCTATTCGTTCCTATTCCGTTGCATTCGTCACAGGCAAACACGATCCTGCGGCGGCGGACCCTGCGGCATGGGCGCAGCTGCAGCAGCTCCCCCCGTCCGACCGCCTGCACACGGCAGTGCTCCCAAAGGGCGGAAGCACTCTGGGCGCGGGCGCGCTGGCGGACGGTAGAAAGGAGGGGGAGGCGGAGCTGGCGCAAGTGGACTTGCGCGCGCTGAGCCACGCGCAGCGGGAGCGGCTAGTGGAGCGCGCGCTTGAGACGCTCGATCAGGACAACGAGGCGTACCTTACGAAGCTTAAAGCCCGCCTCGACCGGTGAGGTTCCAGCGGGAAATAGCGCGAAATTATGCGCTGCGCGAGGCGGTGGCATGGAGTCGGACAATTGCCAAGAAACCCTGTATCCATGTCGCGTTGTCGGCGGTCTGCGAAGGAGACAGAAAGAAGTGAGATTGTACGAAGCATCTACCGGTTCAGGGAAAGTACGGGAAACGGACATGGCAGCAGTTTTGGGCTCGATTTTCCATACGTAATCCAACCTCCGTCCCCTCTTCTCCCCTCCCCTCCCCTCTTCTCCCCTGCATTCCCTTCCCTCTTTCCCTGCTCCTCCGAACCGCGCCGCCCAATGTCATCCAATGGCGAGCAGCGTGGGGCTGGCCGTGCCGGCGGTGGAGGTGCGCTTCGAGGATGTGCACGTCGAGGCGGGCGTGTACGTCGGCACGCGCGCGCTGCCCACGCTCCTCAACTTCACGCGCAACTCGCTCGCCGTGAGTCGCACTCGCTTGCCGTGAGTTACGCTCTTGACGCGAGCTTCCCTTGCGCCCAGTTTTCCGCCGCGACACTCGCTTCCCGCCATCGCACATGTGGCTCCAAGTTTCACTTCCTGAACCCCCCCGTTTATTTCACAAGTTGTGAAATTAACTTCGAAGTTTCTGCCTTGCTTTCCCCCCCCTTCTCCCTCCCACCCCCCGCCCCCCGCCTTTACCCACCCCTTCAGGCGGCGCTGCGGTCGCTGCGCGTGGTGCCGGATTCGCGGCGCCCGTATCCGATCCTGCACGGATGCTCGGGCGTGCTGCGGCCGGGCCGCATGACGCTGCTGCTGGGGCCGCCAGGCGCCGGCAAGTCCACTCTCATGCAGGCGCTCGCGGGCTGCCATGACAAGTCGCTCAAGGTGCGTGGGGCTTGTAACGGGGATGTGGAACAAGCCTCGTGACGGAATTGAGAAGGTGGAAACATGTAATGGGCCGTTTTTCACAAACCTCGTATGAGTGAGTTTGGGCGTCGTCCATTGAGGCTCAATGCTCTGTTCGCTGCTCCCCTTACCCATTTTTCTCAACTCCACTCCTCTTCCCTCGATGTCCATTCCCTCCCTTCCCTTCGCTCCCCATATTCCCTCACAGGTATCTGGCAGCGTGACCTATAACGGGCATGCTCTTAACGAGTTCGTACCGGAGCGCACAGCAGTGTACGTGCCGCAGAACGATGAGCACATTGGCGAG